ACATTCCCCAATTTCCACATTCCCCAATTCCCACATTCCCCAATTCCAACCTTCCCCAATTCCCACATTCCCCACTTCCAACCTTCCCCAATTCCCACATTCCCCAATTCCTATATCCCTCCTCCAATAACAAGCAATAACCAATACTTGAAAATGAAAACCTCCTCATCAAAATCAGCACATTATCTCGCACCTCCGGTTCTTGGTCCAGTGATTTTCTGCCGATTACTTTCGAGCAGCGAATTACTTTCGCATCGGCAAATTACGGGTCCGGAATCGTGTTCGATCGTCGAGATACGATCGTTACGAGGTGTGTAAGCGCGTCTAATTCGTGCCGGCATCATTCCACTAATTTGCATCGGGACATTAGTGTCGGTTCTCCGCTGAAACGGAAGATCGTATCGTATGGCGAGATTATTAATTCGAATGGCTGTCTGCTTAGAAATTTATACTCTCGTGGCTTCGTTATGCTCCACTGTTCTTTGGCTTTATTGCCGGAATGCATGGAATTGAGTCGTTATCATTTTGTTACGTTGTAATGTGCTTTTTCTTGGTGCTATGATGGTGGACACATCTTTCAACATTCAACTTTCAGATTTTTTGCAAATTTGTATTTGTATTTTGTATTCTATACTGAGTACAGTATTTTGTCCATGGTGTATTGTCTGTAGTATATTGTCCATTGCATGTTGTCTGTAATATGTTGTCTGTAGCAGGTTGTTTATATTATATTGCTTGTAGTATATTGTCTACAATATAATGTCTACAATATATTGCCTGTAGTATAATGTTTTTAGTGTGATGTCTATAATATATTGTTTCTAATATATTGTCCATAATATATTGTTTTTAGTACGTTGCCTATAAAATATTGTTTCTAGTATATTGTGCATAGTACATGATTTCTAGTATGTTGTCTACAAAATATTGTTTGTAGTGTATTGTCTGCAAGATATTGTTCTTATTATATTGTCCACAATATATTGTTTTTAGTATATTGTCTATAAGATATTGCTTCTAGTGTATTGTTTTAGTATATTGTCTACGTATATTGTTTATGGAAAAATCCAAAAATGTACAGAGATGATAGGTGACGATAGAAGGGTCAACGACAGGGTGTATGGAAAACCTGCCACATTCCCCAATTCCCACATTCCCCAATTCCAACCTTCCCCAATTCCCACATTCCCCACTTCCAACCTTCCCCAATTCCCACATTCCCCAATTCCTATATCCCTCCTCCAATAACAAGCAATAACCAATACTTGAAAATGAAAACCTCCTCATCAAAATCAGCACATTATCTCGCACCTCCGGTTCTTGGTCCAGTGATTTTCTGCCGATTACTTTCGAGCAGCGAATTACTTTCGCATCGGCAAATTACGGGTCCGGAATCGTGTTCGATCGTCGAGATACGATCGTTACGAGGTGTGTAAGCGCGTCTAATTCGTGCCGGCATCATTCCACTAATTTGCATCGGGACATTAGTGTCGGTTCTCCGCTGAAACGGAAGATCGTATCGTATGGCGAGATTATTAATTCGAATGGCTGTCTGCTTAGAAATTTATACTCTCGTGGCTTCGTTATGCTCCACTGTTCTTTGGCTTTATTGCCGGAATGCATGGAATTGAGTCGTTATCATTTTGTTACGTTGTAATGTGCTTTTTCTTGGTGCTATGATGGTGGACACATCTTTCAACATTCAACTTTCAGATTTTTTGCAAATTTGTATTTGTATTTTGTATTCTATACTGAGTACAGTATTTTGTCCATGGTGTATTGTCTGTAGTATATTGTCCATTGCATGTTGTCTGTAATATGTTGTCTGTAGCAGGTTGTTTATATTATATTGCTTGTAGTATATTGTCTACAATATAATGTCTACAATATATTGCCTGTAGTATAATGTTTTTAGTGTGATGTCTATAATATATTGTTTCTAATATATTGTCCATAATATATTGTTTTTAGTACGTTGCCTATAAAATATTGTTTCTAGTATATTGTGCATAGTACATGATTTCTAGTATGTTGTCTACAAAATATTGTTTGTAGTGTATTGTCTGCAAGATATTGTTCTTATTATATTGTCCACAATATATTGTTTTTAGTATATTGTCTATAAGATATTGCTTCTAGTGTATTGTTTTAGTATATTGTCTACGTATATTGTTTATGGAAAAATCCAAAAATGTACAGAGATGATAGGTGACGATAGAAGGGTCAACGACAGGGTGTATGGAAAACCTGCCCAGAATAGAACGTTCTACAACGTGTTTCACGGTTCCTGAGATTACGAAGCTCCTCGAGGGCTATGACAGCGGGTGGAAAGGCAGAATGTGGGTCAACAACTGCGAACAGCCAGTGGAATACGAGATACAAGCTCTCGTTAGCAACACTATGTGTACCGTGCTGCCTTTCAAGCCCACGGCAAGTGCGAGAGCGCAAGTGGAAAAAAGAATGAACCGGAAAACTGATATCGGATTGAGTCTGAAGAAACCCGAAGAGTTAATCCTTGCACGATTTCCGGTGTACGGTGTCTTTTTTGTGGCGGGTGATTCGGTGCGTTTGGATCGGTGTTCAAGAAATTATTCATCACTTCTTCATTAAATTTCACCATCGTTAAATTTAGAAGGCAAAGTGATTGGAGACGTTGGACTTAACATATTTTGTACTTAAATTAATTAAAAGGAAATTTCAAGTTAATAGTGTGTTAAAATATAACCTCAAATATTAACTTAACTTAACTCAAATATTACTTAACTTCATACTTTGCATGATTACTTAATGAAAATGATAAGAAATGTGTTTTCTAATAAGCATGGTTAATGAGTGAGAAGCTTTAATCGTGTCATATTAGGTATAGGATAGTATGTACATTAATATTAACGAATAAATAAATTTTAATAAAGTAACAAATTTTATTTGACTGATCAATAAACTGACAGTCGGTGTATTAATTAAAAATACCATGATTGTATTACAAGAAGATGTTTACCTTTGCTATCGAAATTTATTATCTGGCAACGATCGTCTGCAGCGATGTCGCATTTGTAAACTGCACCCCCTCTGTAAACTCCAGCCTGTGAAGTTTCGGCTTCCGGTGCCCCCACGATCGCCCTGTCAACAAAAAACATTAAAATTTGCATAAAATAATGAAAGCATCTATGAATTAATAATAGGTATACAGTAATTAATGCTAATGAGTAACAGGTAACGTGTAACAGGAAACTCCGATCGATGTACATTAATCAGTTCATCGGTGTTAGCAGGTCATCGGTCGATATTCATTATCGCATCTTTAAGGAAAAACGATGATGCGAACGTATTTCCGAGATTGAGGTCAGTGGTCACGAGCTATTTTGAACAGTGGCGCAAGAGTAACTGATCCGACCAACCGACTAGTTATTAAACCAGGTAACACACTTGCTACCGCAATTTTTATCGGTTTGGAATACAACGTTGTGGAATACAATACTTGGAGTACAGAGGATTACATGTATCAGGTGCTATGCACACTTCTTTTTAATTTTAATTCTTAACACAGAACAAGACTTTATCTGGAGACTTCATCTAAAATATCTAATATTACAAAATTATTTTATACAACTCTTTTCATATATTTTATATTAAATATTTTTTTATGACATTTTTTAAATTGAATATTTTTATGAAAGATATAGAAACAATATAAAGATGTTAAATACATAAAAAATCATGTTAAAGAAATTATACTTCATTTATTCTATTTAGTCAGACAATTAAATTTAATTAATTTAAATGAAATTAATTTCTCTACTCAGTTTTTGCAATTTTATTATTTTGCAATTTATTATAATTTAATTTTATTACACTTTTTAATTCATCATGATATTTAATTTACAGTAACTTACTGTACTAAAAGTCTCATTAACAAAATTCAATTTTCGACGAATAAAAATGAAGAAAAGTCAGCACGTTTCATGAAAACGTTCCAGGTGCAAGTAGGCGTGTGCGAGCAATATAAAGATCGTTAGTCATGGTAATAGATCGTATAATTATCTTAAAAGGGTGTGCCTAACCGGGGGTTGTGCCTTGAAATCACCCTGACCTATAGCGTGATTAATATTGACTGTATGCAGATTAAGTATACGCCCTCGGACGTGATACATCGATCACGATCTCAATCCCTTACAAACAATTAACATTGCTTGACATATAGTTGCTATGAAAATAAACTGGTCGGAGTCTTACACAATATTTTAGTCAGCGACCTTGCTATTATATTCCAGTCTACCTTGAATTCTTTTGGTATTCAGATTTTCTTCAACGTCTGACGATAAAAATTTTGTGGTTATACTTTAGACTTTATGATTGTATTTTAGGTTTTTTATAAACTCTGTTAATTATGAATCGTTAAAAAAGTTATTACTGATCATTTTTAGAATTCATTCGAAATATGTAATATGTGAAGTTCAGTTCTTGTAATTTGGAGATTTATTGCAATTATAAAATTCATTATTAATTGCTTACACTTGCAGTTATGTTGTCACAGTTACTGGGATTAGAAGATTAAATCAGATTAATTACAGGAAATGCAACTTCCAGTAAACTGTGTTCAGATTAGATTAGATAAGTAATTTTTCAGTTCAAACTCTGCATTACTATAATAAATGAAAAGAGTATATTAACAGTATTTGCAAAGCAACGATTATTTAAAATTATGGTTAAAAATTATTGTAGTAATAATTTAAATCTGTCTCTTGTTGTTTTAAGTATCTCTGGTAATCATCATGGACAGTCATGTTGAGACTGAGTCAACATCTGTTCGTAATATTAAACTTTCAAAACTAAAGACGTGGGCACTGGTAACCCCTGCAGTAAAAGTTGTACATATTATGGGAAACGGAACCCAGTGACCGCGAACCATGCACACGTGTATGTTCAGCGATGTCTGAAGGTCTACTTCCTGTCAAACTGCTTTGAATGCAACGGAAACTGAGGTTTATGAACGAATAAACGTTCATAAATTGCATTGCAGACATTTCTTAAAATTTTTGTATCATTTTAGGTGTTGGGTTAAATCAGTAACTTGTATAACAATTTATATATTCTAGGTATTAGATTAAATCATTAAGTTGTGTTAGAATTTATGTATCATTTTAGGTATTAAGTTAAATCATTAAGTTGTATAACAATTTATATATCGTTAGTCACAACATCAAGTTGTATAACAATTTATATATCATTTTAGGTATCACAACATCAAGTTGTATAACAATTTATATATCATTTTAGGTATTAAGTCATTAAGTTGTATAAAAATTTGTATATCATTTTAGGTATTAGGTTAAATCATTAAGTTGTATAACAATTTATATATCGTTAGTCACAACATCAAGTTGTATAACAATTTATATATCATTTTAGGTATTAGGTCATTAAGTTGTATAAAAATTTATATATCATTTTAGGTATTAAGTTAAACCACTAAGTTGTATAACAATTTATATATCGACAGTCACAACATCAAGTTGTACAACAATTTATATATCGTTAGTCACAACATCAAGTTGTACAACAATTTATATATCATTTTAAGTATTAAGTCATTAAGTTGTATAAAAATTTATATATCATTTTAAGTATTAAGTTAAATCATTAAGTTGTATAACAATTTATATATCGTTAGTCACAACATCAAGTTGTACAACAATTTATATATCATTTTATGTATTAGGTTAGGTCATTAAGTCATATAAAAATCTGCAATCACATTAAAGAATTTAATAAATTGCATACAAAAATAAATGAAAGTAATTTTGTAACAAGTGATTCACGTGGGTCGAAATTAACCCGAAAGCTCTATTTTTCGTTCTCGTTTTTTTGGAATCGTGAGGACAACAATCGCCGATATGTGACGCATACGCCAGAACGGGAATGCAGGGGCGAACCGGTCCCACAAACACTAGCGCCTTTTTCTCATTTCACACTATCATATTTTTCCTTCGTTTAATTTTTCGAAATAGGCTATTCGTTCTATACTGTGTTATTCGTTTTATAGCTTCTTCGCTGTAGATGTGGAATAGGTACAGCTGGGTAAAATCAGACCTATACACAATTGATCCATACAAATATTCAAATGTTATTAAATATGGTAGAAGAAGATACAGTAAAAGAAGTAGAAGAAATAGATACAGTAGATACATAGATAAAGTAGATAGAAGAGTAGATACAAAAATTTATAGTAACATCAGACTTTCAGATTTTGATCTATACTGACATCTTCAATATTAATAGCAAGTACTGTACAAAACTATATAAAAGATCAGATACACCCCCAAAATAGAATAGCAAAATCAGACACCCAGATGTTCATCTACACAAATACTCATATCTTCAAAATTAATTGCAAGTGAAGACTACCTATAAAGACTATCTTTCCATAATAGTCACAACACTAAATTTTCCCATACCAATAAACAGCATATCTTCGTTCATTCCCTTTCTCCTCCACCGTCATAAACTATGCACACTATTCGGTGACAGACCGACTCGTAGATAGATGTGAATAGCAGTGACAGTAGGCGGCAAAGATGGTTCGTCGCAAGAGACAGGTTGTGCGAGGACAAGCAACCTGACATCGAGGGAAAGTTGAAACCTTGTTGATTTATACAATGCCGGTCCAGTTTGGAGAACAATTTAGATTCCTTTTTTATTTGATCGCTACATGAGACTGCGTGTACCAATGACTATAAAAATGACAAGTTTCAGAATCGTGTAACCATTGATAGAAGTTCCACATTCAATCCTTTTTTCTATGGATAATATTGTGAAGGTAGAAACAATTGTGGAGAAATTTTTGAAGAAAATAAAATGAGTCACTGAACTTTTGATAACCATTAATTTGTTTTAATTTGCGTATCTCATTAATGAGTTCTCTGTTTCCACGAACCATCGATATTCTTATCGAGTCTCTTAAAATAATATTGCAGATTACATGTTAATGTTTCATGTGGCTTTACGTCACTGACTTGTTGCGTGACACGGAAGACGTCAATAAAAATTACATTAATTAGTTGAGTGGATAACATATTGTTCTGTATGTAATTTTTATTATGTACTCGTGGACAGAAATATTTAAATTTGCTTCATGACGTTCAATTTTTTATGACATGCGTATCACGACACGGAAGTTGCTCATAAAAATGAGATTAATTAGTTAATTGAATAACACATCATTCTATATATAATTTTTATTTTATACCCATGATAAAAAATATTTAAACTTGCTCCTTAATATTAAGGTTTTTAATAAATGTTGTATAGCATGTTGCAAAAGGTCACTTATAAAAATTGCATTAATTAGTTAATTGAATAACACATCATTCTATATATAATTTTTATTCTATACTCATGATGAAAAATATTTAAACTTGTTCCTTAATATTTATATTTCTAATCTTGCTACTTTCAATCAGCTGATTAATTATTATAAGAATGATGATTTTAACATATATACATATTTAACATACACAGTGATAATTCACCAATGTGGATCATAATTCATAAAAATTGCTGTAACATCAAAGGACTTTATGGTTAAATAAAATTCTAAACAAATTTTGAAGTTTACTGTAGTTTGACTTAACCTAACATTTCGTTCTGAATAAACCTCATCGGAAACGGAAATCCATTTTTCCTTGTTTGCACATGGCTTACAATAGTTAGTCAGTTACGTTCGAGTGCTTTAGATTTATAGGATGTTGCATCCTTGGAACGTGCTAATGAAGGCTTGCAGCTGCACCTTCCACGTGCAGGTGCAGAGATTTAGCGTGTTCTAAATTAGCTCGTGCAACGATCTGCGACTACGTTACATGCAAAATTTGTATTCTTATAATAGTAAAATTCTACATCTACATTTCGAGTTAAATTTATATCTTCAGTTATAGCAACTCCATAATTGAAACAGTTTACATTACTCTGAACAAGATGGAAACTTTCTGAAACTCTATAAAGATGGAAACTTTCTAAAATTTATAAAGAAATTTTATATCGATAACTATTATACTCTTCTCGTTTCCACTATAAATTATTATGTCATCAAAAAACGTTCAGTAAATATAAATTTATGTATTTAA